TTGTCTTGTTTGAAGTTCAGTAATGTTGGCATTTCTTAAGTATAAACAAACCGTCAGGAAACAAGCGGCCCAGATTCAGCCCCTTTATTTTATGACTAATAAAGCCCACTTTATGAACAATTAAAGTAGTTTATGCCATTAAAAACGCAATAATCTGTTCAGTTTACCTTGAAATTTCTATCCAAAAAATGGATAGTATATAGATATGGTAGAAAGATCAAAGAGTTAAGACAGGGATGACCTATTAGACGAGGGTTACATACTTAACATTACTTTGCTCGTGTAAGTTTTCCTCCACACAAGCCCTTATCGCTGAAACAGCTAGCTTCTACAGTTAGAACGACATCCTTTGTGCTACTGTGTGTGTACTGCTGCATATTCTCGTCTGCTACTGTTGTCACCTCGGATCCTCATAGTGCTGAAGAAGCTCATTTTGGATATAGTGCCGCATTCTTGTTAACCCGAAGTGTGTAAAATGAATCTCTCTACCGTTGTTAGTGAATGATGTAAAGTGTGAGGACAATAGCGAAAGGATGCCAAGAACGCATCATTGTATAACTGGTAATTTAAGTGAACATGAAATCTTAGACTGCACACAATGCAGTCAAAACTCAAAACCGAAACTCAAGTAGTCAGTACGCATATCGCTACATTTTGAAAGAGTTGCCCTATTACTAAAAATTATTTGCCACAGCCCTACTACTCAAAGACACTCACAATTAGCATGCACTGAGACAGAGAAACACCAGAGGCATTATTGAGACGTTTAAGTGCTCTATAGCTACATAACTGCTTATTACCTATTACAAAAGAAGTCATGTTCAGACTAGATAAACTTGCTGAATCACTGCACGTACATCTCGAGAGTCTCAAAGTTAACGTCTTCATTGGGTCGAGCCTCGTCAGCACACAACCTCACCTCAATGTCATCACTGACTGGGGCAGAGATCTCTTTCCTGAACCATGGTGGAGAGTTGAAGTCACAGCAGGTGTTGTGCTCCCCACATCCAGCACCATCCCAGAGAGGATCGTCTCCATAGAAGATGTACTGGTAGAAATTCTCACTGCCAGTGTCACAAAAGTAATCGTTTCCAACAAAGCTTGGGACCGCAGGAGGTGGGCTGTTACGTGTGTTTGTGCAGGGACAAACTAAGGCTTTAGCAGAGTTGTATTCGTGAAGTGCTGCAACTAATGTCCAGATGTGATTGCGTGGACTTGCTCCGTATGTTAGACTGATTCCATCAACATAGTTGGCCTCGATCGCTCCACCGCCACCTCTAAATCCATCTGTGGTTTTGTCCTGGTATCCAATGATCTTGCCACACACTTGAGAGTACTCTACTCCCTGTACTGGCAGACACAGCCGAAGAGCATCCACCACCATTAATGTTCATAGCACACCGTCTGCGAGGACTGGTGAGGGTCCTCAGACCAGATGGACAGGTACTGCTAGTGTCGTTCATGTCGATAGAGGCCACCCTCATCCAGCCTCCAGCTACACCTTTGCAGCTTCTCTCCATGTCACAGTACATTTGTCTGGGTCTGTTGTTGGTTCCCCTGAGCCAGTAGAGACCCGAGGGAGACTGTGGGGCCTGCTGGAGATCTCCTTGCAGGAGACAGCAGGGAAATTGGAATTGCTGCCAGGAGTGCCCATTTGGGGGAGTCTGTCTTCCAGAATGTCTCTGATGGTACTGTTGACAGCTGCCCTGACACTTTCAGCGAGGCGTTTTTCTAGCTCATCAATTGTATCTTCACAGAGAGAAGTACAATTTCGAGAGCCACAAGAACAGAGCTCTTCCAATTTCAGCTCGCAGCTGATCTCCTCTACCAGCTCATCAGTAGTAGTAGTAGTGGTGACTACCACTTTGTCATTTTCCAGACTGGCACGGGTCACCGTACAGATCAGGACCAGTAGCACCGCAGGGACTAGGGAAAGTGAAGTCATGATGAATGCAGTGAGTACTTCAGTTGTCTTGCAGGCTCAGCTGTGCAGCCTCTTTTATACTAATGTCAACCGAGCTCTAACGAAGGAAGTCAGTGGTGTGCTGCTCTGTTTCCTATAATCAGCCTTACAGTGTGTGAAAGACTATTATATTAACTACTGACTTCCTTTACTCTGAAGTTACTTCTTAGTAATCAGCTGACACCTTGTTTGCAAGGGTTGTAAGGTTAGTTCCTCATGATGAGAAATCACAACTGATGACTTCCTTGACCTTGGGAATTTGATGTTTATTCAGAAACTATGCTCCCTACTCTTCCTTCTTCCCACACATAATATGTACAATTAGCCACGACATCCTGTGCATCTCATTATCTTCACACTGCAGGAAATAGTATGGTCTCAATGGTAATGGTGAATGAACTTCCTAGTAAAGGATGGCTCAGTTCTTCATGGATTGGGCTAAAACTGTTTCTGATGCACGGCGTTGCATGGGGGAGAATTAATTAAGGGTGTGTATATTATACCTAAAAGAACCCGTCAGCACGGGTTTGTTTGGGGTCTGTGACCCACTCACACGTCAGGGAGAACACTGCTGCGAGCTGGCTACGGCCGGTGGCCTGCTTACTGTCGAAGACTAGCCCAAGCAGGGCGCCAGCTTAGGGAGGTACCTCACCACATATTTGACACTTCCTTCATGGGTTGAAATTCTATATACTATGCATTGGAACGAATATTAAAAACTTTGTTGTTTCATGTATAATTCCTTTGTCATGCTTCATGGTAAAACGCATGCGCGTACGAGCCCCGCCCCCTCACGGTTTCGAGGGTGGAGCTGTGGCTGTAACGTCATATGCATTGCCAGTGTATAAACAACCGTCAGGAGACACAGAGGCCCAGATTCAGCCCCCTTTATTTTTATGACTAATAACAGCCCACTTTTGTGACATATTTAAAGTAGTTTATGCCATTAACACTTCAATTAATCTGTTCAGTTTACCTTGAAATATCTTTACACAAAAAGGATAAAATAAGGATGGTAAAACGATCAAAGAGATAATAAGACAAGGATGACCTAGTACATTGGACGAGGGTTACATACTTAACATTATGTAAATTTTCCTCCACTTATCGCTGCAACCGCTAGCTTCTACCAGTTTAAGTGAACATGAAATCTTAAACTGCACACAATGCAGTCAAAACTCAAAACTGAACATCAAGTAGCTAGTCAGGGAAAAAAACTTGATACAGTGCTAGCATGCTAAAGTTGGACAGACGGCTGGTTCATAAATGTTCATTTGCCCCTGGTGATAGGGGGTGAAGGGAATATGTACAATACACAAATAAAAAAATTCTAATGAGAGTAAGTAAGGACAAAGAATGTTAGTATCAATGTAAATGTCAGTTGGTGTATTTCATGCACATGCACTCTCGTTGCTGCCACGTAGCCCGTTTTCGTGTCGTGCACGGATCGTGATCGGAAGTATTATAGCTTAATGCAGAAATATATAGCACTTGACAAACTTGACAAAACAAAGCTGCTTTGTTTTGTCAAGTTTGTCAAGTGCTATATTTCTGCAGGAAAAAGGATAATGGGATATCGAACTTCGATTCTTGGTCGACTTTTCAGTGGATTCTACAAAAACAACGACGTACGTGTTCTGATGTGCGGTAAGTAAAATGTACGTGCTAGCTATACTCACTGCTTTCTTCTTCAGGATTAGACGTTGCTGGAAAGACCACAATAATTTATAAGCTGAAGCTGAGAGAAGTTGTTACTACCATTGGTGATCATGGACAGTGCTCATGTAGATATTTGATGATAAAGAGTTTTGTCGTTTGCGCAGGATTCAACCTCGAGACAGTGAGCTACAAGAATGTGTGGGATGTTAGTGGAAGAGGAGGGATTGTAAGATCAGAAGAACAGTAAAATAATATAACACTGTGCATCAAAGTTTTCACTGCTAGCGGGCGTTGTGGCGTCACTACTACCAGAACAGAGACGTTGTCATCTTTGTGGTGGACGCAGCAGCGAAAGAGAGGGGGGAGGTTCATGACTGCCAATAGACTCCATGCCCACTGTATTCTGACCCTGGCCAACAAGCAAGCTACCCTGTGCCATGTCAACTATAGAGATCACAGAGAAGCTGGAGCTCAATAAGTTCTCATCAAACAGAGCACGCCGCGAGTTTAGCTGATTTTCATGTACTCACTGCTATTATTGTCAATGCACAGATATTCAAGGGACCAGTGCAGTGAAGGGAAAAGGGCTGTATGATGGACTGGATTGGTTGAAGGACACTGACAGCCAAAAGAGGTGGTCATGAGTGTTAGTAAACCAATAGAGACTCGCTGACTGGAAAGAAAGAATTCCTGGCCTCCTGGTTCCCAGCCTACTTCACATCATTCTAAGACTGATAGCTAATTGTTTCTCTCCATAGAATATGAAACTATGGTCTGAAGCTGACCGTTGAAGCTAGCCAAGGCTGTTCTTATAATTATGCTATTATACGTCTAGAATAACAAGTGTGAACTTGACCTTTCAGCTAGGCAAAAATGCTGTGTTGGGTAGGTAATTCTCAGAGGATTCATCTCACTCACTCAACTGCATGGTGTAGCTAGACCAACTACCATAATTATCATCTAGCTATATACCTAACATCCAGCTTCAATACACCCCCCCATCCCACCATCAAATCACCAAATCCCTGTTCTTGTGAGAGCCTGGGAGCGATATATCTTACCAATTTGTTATGGAGTAGCATTTTCAACCAAAAATCAAACACGTTTCTACAGCAGTTAGCTATGTTTAGCTGCAGGTTGGTATCTATGAGCATAGCTAGCTTGCCTCCTCACCGTATATACCAAAATTATGAGTTACAGTGAGGCATCACGGCGAGAGCTAGGCAACTTATTAGCGCGTGGATATCTAAATAGCAGGGAGGATGCAGGCGAGGGGTCGGTCCCAGCCGGCACTCCGCGATTTGTTTGCGCGTGTCGAGCCGCCCCCTGTACTAAAAATAGAGTCAGGAACTATATAGTGACGCAATAATGATGAATAATGCTGACACGTAGTGCATTTATTCGTGCTCAGTTTTTACATTGCTAGCTGTAGAGTTACGGCTTGCAGTGTATAAAATGGGTTTCACCCAGTCTAAGCACTATTCCTCGAACAATGGGCAACCGAAGTTCCTTTCTTGGGAGAATCTTCGGTAGATTCTACAAAAATCGAGAAATACGAGTGATTATGTGTGGTAAGCCTACACTAGCTAGTGTATAGGATGATCCTCCGTGAACTTTGTCTGATCTGCGTTATGTTTTCGTAGGATTAGACGCTGCTGGAAAGACCACGATACTCTATAAACTCAAACTGGGAGAAGTTATCACTACCATTCCTACCATTGGTACGTGTACAGTGGTGTAAAAAGCAGGAGAAAAAATGAGTTTCAGTGGTGTTTTAATTAATTAACCATTGCTAGGATTCAACGTTGAGACGGTGAGCTACAAGAATGTGAGTCTCACTGCATGGGATGTCGGAGGACGAGATAAGATTGTAAGGCTAGCTAAATCAGTTTTCAATAGAACACTAGTATTCAGTCCACATGTCTCTGCTACTCCAGCGGCCATTGTGGCGTCACTACTACCAGAACACAGATGTTCTCATCTTTGTGGTAGACAGTAACGACAGAGATAGAGTGGATGAGTGCAGAGAAGAGCTGGGGAGGTTCATGACTGAGGATGGACTTCAGGACTGCTGTGTTCTGATCCTGGCCAACAAGCAGGACCTGCCCTCTGCCATGTCAACTGAGGAGATCACAGAGAAGCTGGAGCTCAACAAATTGCCTCCTACCAGAACATGGCGTGAGTTGCTCCCTTGTTGACTTTATTTGACATGCACCTTACAACACGCACAATGTTTTGTCCACAGATATTCAAGGGGCAAGTGCTGTAAAGGGAGAAGGGTTGTATGAGGGACTGGACTGGTTGAAGGACACACTGACAGCCAAAGAGGTGGTCAAGAGTGTTAGTAAACCAACAGCAGAGGTTAAAGACTCACTGACTGGAAAGAAAGGATTCCTGGCCTCCTGGTTTCCAGCCCTTTCTAATTATTTGACATAATGATGTTCATGTAATGTGTATTGTTATTAATCGTGCGTAGCTCATGTTTGGTGATTTGTGGATAATCTCTGGGTTAAACAAAGTAGCTAGCCCACTATTGTGACAGAAATGAGTGAATTAGCAAGGATACACTGAAAGTTGCATAGGTTTCTACCCTCACTGATGGTTGTAACCACCCACAAAATTAATGAATATGATGTCAGCCACTAGATCAGGGCAGTGATTAGTCTATGTTAGCCTGCCTCAAAATGAGGTGGTGGAAGTGATTACATCATTTAATCCAACTGTACTCTTCACCTCGAGTCACACCCTTAATTCTTTCTGGTGACTGCTCTCCCCCTCACTGCTGGGCCAGCACACCTTACACCTAGCAAACATACTACCAGCAGCAAGTACAAGGTGTTGTAAGACCCGAGGATTGGAAAGGAGGGTGGTTAAACTGAATAAAGACTGCACCATTAACCTTAAGACTCCAAATTTTTGGCAATTCTAATCGGTGGTGTGGACGCTAGGCATGAAAAGTCAGTGGTATGTCTCCTGGAGGTACAGGTACAGGTGTCTGCCAGCCTCCAGAGGAGCTGCGAGGAGTCCTGCCTCAGACTGCCCACTACTATCCTCTTCCCTCCGCTGCAGCAGACTGGATGGCTCTCCTAGCAAAGCCAGCCAGCCAGAATCAAATGATGGATGCAACGACTTATACGGATGCCTGAGACACAAACAGTAGAAAACTGGAAAAGAGAAATTTGTACCAGCACTGCATCATCAGAGAGTAAATGGGTCGAGGACAACCAGGAGGTGGTGACAGCCTTATCCCCACTTCGACCAACTTTAGGGTGTGAAAGCATAACTTAATGGCTAGTGGACATGTCGGGGTCTTACTTGACAATTGGTGTAGCCTTCAAAGGGTTTGTGTCCAAGACTCCATATTTCATACATGACACACTCAAAACTCCACACATCACTGGTAGTAGAGTAATCATTGAAATTTAGAGCCTACATTAATATGAGGTCAGCAAAGTGTAATTGTTGCATTACCTCAGGTGCAGTCCACTTGACAGGGAGGATTGGGTGTAATCCATCAGGGAAACCTTCCTCTACGTATCTTGCCATTCCAAAACCATCCACCTGCCAAACACATTATGTGTAGCTTCTGCATAAGGCATCCCGAAACACTTACTGCATAGCTTGTCGGGAAACTTTTGTTTAATGAAGTTGAAAGTTGTTTATTTATTTGTGTGGGAGTCCAGTTGCATAATTGGACATGAGAAGTTTTTCTCGTCCTCTAAGTAACGTTTAGATGTATTAGCAGTTTAGTTACGTACCTTGCAGACTTTGTACTCAGAGACTAGAATGTTGCGAGCTGTAAGGTTTCTGCGGACCATGTCTTTCGCAGCAAAGTAGCTCATTAACCCTCGGCGCGCATGCGCAGCGAGGGTTGGGTTTGTCTGTCTGTCTGTCTGTTACTCCAATCTCACTCCTCAAGTGTTTGTTCGTCTCACAAAGGATACCATCTACCCAACGGCAACGGGCGACGAAGGTCAGAAAATATGTGGGGTTTTCTCTGAAAATGCTCCGTTGCAGAGCTAGAGCATTGTATGGCTAATGCCCATTTTATCGCTGGCGGATAATGCGCATGCGCTTATATTCAGCACAGTCGACCGGGTCCGCTTGCTCTGTCTATCTTGAAGGCACAAGAAGTCATAACGAATGGCGTGTATCGACTCTCGCGTGCTATCTACTACTGTAGCTAGCCCGTGTCAGACTCTCTGCGAGCTACTTCGCCGAGGGTTTGCACTTCAGTGCTTTTCATTCCTGCTGCAATCTGCTCACAGAAACTGAGGCGCATCACAGACAGCTTGGTCTGCTCTGGGGGTTTGGGACTTGTGAGGGTGAGGGAGTGAGAGGAGGGACATTAGTGAATATCCCATTGTGGTATGTTTCCTACTCACATATAAAGGAGTGGAGGAAATGTCTGAGTTCTCCATTTGGCAAGAACTCCAGCACCATTGCCTCCCTCAGGAATTCTAGATTGTTTTTCCCCTTCTCAGGACTGAAGGTCTTGATGACCACCTCCACTGGACCACCTCTTCCAGCCAGCCACCTCCCACAGTACACCTCTCCATACTGTCCTGACCCCAATGACTCAGCAACTCTGTTTACAGTCACAATTCAATAGCCCTGGTGGGTTATTTACAAGTGGAAAAATCATTTCTTCAAAATGAAGGGGGATATAGGGATGGCTTGAAGCAAACAAAAAGGAAGAAACAAGGGGTCATTACACAGCAAAGATGCACAAAGCTACATGACACCATCCCTATATCTTTGTCTCATATTAAACTTTACTTGTGAACTATAACACAAAGATATAGGGATGGTGTCATGTAGCTTTGTGCATCTTTGCTGTGTAATGACCCCTTGTTTGTTCCTTTTTGTTGCTTCAAGCCCTCCCTATACCCCCCTTCATTTTGAAGAAACACTTGTTTCCACTATTTTTCATGCCTTATGACAACACTGCATTTTCAGTCACTCTGATGTTCATGGGTGTTGTAGAGATAACTGTTGAAAGCAGAAGCTAATGGGCTGCTCCTACCTGAAGCAAGGTGTATGCGTAGTGTCTCCAACAACGATGCAATTAGGTTGTGGCACATATATGGTGGGGTGGTTTCATAAGTAATCAGACTACAATGAAAAGCACCACAGTGCAAACCAATGCATTGAACTTCTATGTGCACCCCCTCTTACATTCACCATTCCCTCTTCTTGTTGCGTAGATTCCTTGGTGAAAAACCTGACAGTTGAGTCGAGCAAACTCCACGAAGAAAACATGACCCTTCACCAAGAAAACAGGTCCACCACTCTCTCCTGTCCCTCGACTGGAGGTGTTGAATGCCACATCAGTGAGAGTGTCATGGGAGGAGCCATTCACATGGGACGACCTGGTAAGTGAAAAATGGTATAGACACTTTGGTGTATCAATTGGAAAACGAAAGACATTTGTATTTGGCAGAGTGCACATAGTGCAAAGGACTTGCGCACCCACTATACAATCACAGACATCGATTCCTTCCTATTATTTCACATGCAAATATCATGTGAGTTTAGCATCAAGCAAGCAGCGCATTCAGATTGATCTGAAGCCAGAGATTGTTTTTTTCATTCCCTCGTGTAGGAGGGAGATTGCTCAACTCTCCTAGTGATCTTGCAATGTGTACAGTGTGCAGGTGTAGACTACAAGTCAATCCCTTTTACCATTCAAACCACAAGTCCCCTCAATAGGCTCCACTAATACGTCGCTCCTCATCATGTTTCCAAGCACTGCCAAACATGAGCAGTAACCCCCCAGTTAATAGCCACGAATGTAGTTGCACATGTTTGCCCAATAATGGTGAAGCTGATCTATAGAGCAACTTTATGTGTCAACCATACAAGTAACTTACTTTTTTGCCTTTAGTATCAATGTTCTGAGGCAATAAGTTATTTTCTCACCTTCACAAAACAGACAGAGTCTCATGCAACACTGCTTTACAAAAGATGTGTGCCTTACCATTGTTTTATTTTATTACAATGGCCTCCACTTTGTACACATAAGGATCAGGCATTATCTATACGTGTTTGTAGGTATCATCAATACTGCATCTTGACTTCCCTCTCTGTGTGCAGGTGTGTCAATGGCGGAGTGGTCAGAGTGGAGTGAGTGCACTCATCCATGTGGGAATGGGACTCAGTTCAGGAGCAGGGGATGCAGTGACGGAGCCTGTGAGACTGAGAGCCAGTCCTGCAACACACACGACTGCAACCCAGAGCCAAGTCTGAGAGGTGAGCAGGTTATAATGCTGTATACACACTATAATTATCGAAATCAGAGAGTCGGTAGACTCTCTATATATATAGGGACGACACGGGTGAAATCTCACGTGATCCGCGTACAAAACGACTAAAAACTCGGTGAGAATCACTCCCTAGGCCTTCAAAACATACTAGCAATAGTCTACGGGCCCATATCTACCTATATAAATTATGTCCCCCAAGATCTCATACGCACCTTCAGTCGTCCACGCGAGAATTCGCTCATACGCGATTTCACGATTTTCGTGTCATCATCATATTCTTCTTCTTCTTCTTCTTCTTCTTCTTCAGACCCGCTAGCTCCTTATCGGAAGCACTTGAAGCGTTGATTTTTTCACAGAACGTCTCCGAATTTGCTGGAGGTGTGCACGCATATCAAGCGATCGTTTGTTTCTTGCCGCAAGTCACTACGGTAGATCGTTGAGCTCTTCCTCGGTAGTCACTGAACAACGCCATTTGCTGCTAACTCAGCATCAGTGAGCCGCATGCGCCGAGGAGGGCGTTTCCAATGCGGTGCGCGCGTATTTTGTCTCGTAAACCTGGTCCACGAACGAGACTAAGCCAGGACTGGATGCCTTCAGAGAAAACTACTCTCATCCTCCAGTGCCTTCTGTAAGTCAGTGTACACATTTGTAAGTGGCTAGTTTGCGTTTTGCTGTTGATTTGCACGAGGAGCAACTTAGCAATCTGCGCCGTGTTACGCGTGCGTGCCAGGCGCCTTCATTCTTTGTCCCCCAGGTTATAGCTATCATTGTAGTCTGATTTCTGAAGCCTGCCCAATGAAACCACCACCATATGTGCCACAACCTAATCGCGTCCTTGTTGGAGACACTACGCATACACCCTGCTTCAGGTAAGAGCAGTCCATTAGCTTGTGCTTTCAACAGTTATCTCTACAACATACCTATGAAGACCAGAGTGACTGAAAATGCAGTGTTGTCATAAGCTGTTAAAAATAGTGGAAACAAGTGGAAAAATCATTTCTTCAAAATGAAAGTGGGATATAGGGATGACTTGAAGCACCAAAAAGGAAGAAACAAGGGGTCATTACACACCAAATATGCACAAAGCCACATGACACCATCCCTATATCTTCGTTTTATTGTTCATAAGCAAAGTTTAATATGAGACAAAGATATAGGGATGGTGTCATGTGGCTTTGTGCATATTTGGTGTGTAATGACCCCTTGTTTCTTCCTTTTTGGTGCTTCAAGTCATCCCTATATCCCACTTTCATTTTGAAGAAATGATTTTTCCACTTGTAGATATACACTTTGTACGGTGTATTATACACACACTATAGCGAAATATGTTGAACAGTCTTGATGAATATACCTAATGTAGAATGTAGCGTACACTGATATTAAGAATACGGAGCTATGTATGCTTGATTGTTAACCTGTCCTGAATGCTGCCGTACCAGGAGTGGAACATGTGGGGTGCTACTGGGTGCCCCCATCTACAGCAGCAACCTAGTGTTCCTGGAGGGGACCACAGAGGACCTCAGTGACAATCCCTGGGAGAGGGAGGACCCTGTCAGCAAATGTGGAGCAGCTGCCCAGCTCTACAACTTTAACGTCTTTGCTCTGGCTGTTGGTTTCTGTATCTCTGGCTCCAGCAACCTCCAGCTGTATCAGTCGTTTGAGACTGACTTCTGTGAGGGAGGAGTCGGTGAGACCTTCCACTCTATGGGAAATGATGATAATTCTGACCGGGCTGATTATAATACCTGCAATAAGGGCTGGGTGTAGTTGTGTGTTGTTTGCTAGCTTTTTGACTAGGACTTGCGGTCTCACTCATCGTTGTTTACAATTGTGGACAAGAAGGGACTTTGGAGAAGTAACTAAAAGAGCTGTTTCTTTTATCTTAAGTTCAATCTTTGAGTTCTGTGTACTGTACTAATGTTTTGCTTTGCCTTTGCCTTTGCCTGGTTGTTGAAATATTATGCACATAGCTACAAATTGTTATACATTACCACTGAACCCATTCTGTTGTGGTCTATCGACAGGAGGATATTACTCCCGCTGGATGGCAATGGATGTCTATCTCATATCTGATGCTCAGAGTTTCCGTGACTCTACCACTACTGCCAGTCCCACCACTGCCAGTCCCACCACTGCCAGTCCCACTACTGCCAGTCCCACCACTGCCAGTCCCACTACTGCCAGTCCCACCACTGCCAGTCCCACTACTGCCAGTCCCACCACTGCCAGTCCCACCACTGCCAGTCCCACCACTGCTCCCAGAAGCGACTCCACATCACCCGAGACCCCAGGAGTGGAGGGGAGAAGCGGAGGCTCTCCTGTGACTGCAGCACATCTTCCTAGTCTACTCCTGTCATTGTTTGTCATAGTTACTGTAGTACTGGCTCTATGAGATGAACTCTTTGAGTGTTTATAATAAATAGATGGTGTCTTTATCTTGTCTTCATGGGAAGTTGATTGGAAGCGGTTAAGATTATATTATTTATGAAAATTTAATGTGTACGTCCTGGTGGACTCGAAGCTTGGAGAGAACCAATGTTGATTCTCAGGCTATAATAAAAAAGAAGGGTAGGTGTGGAGGAAGACTAAAAAGCTAGGAGTAATTATTATTAATGTATGCCAGCTGATATTGGCCTTCCCTCTCCCCTCCCCCCACATATCATCCCAGTTGTGTGCAAAATTACACTAATTGACAGACTGTGTCAGTGAGCTAATTGTCTCCACACCAGTGTAGCAATGGTAGTTGTTGTTGAAGGCACTTACTCTGTTGAATGAGTGCCTGAATGGGACAGCATTGTCCACTGATGTTCCCAACTATACAGTGCTATGTGCCAATCAAGGGACTGCTTACATCAAACACTATATCACTAAACCAACACACAGACACACTGATTTCGTCTATGGATGTCACAACAAGGCTTTTGCCAGAGGCTGTGGTGGCTTTTTCGGAGGGCCAGTCTCAGGAGTGTACTCTGGTTTCTTGGTGGGGCTCTTGATAACCACTGGTAGATAGAAACATGCCTTCTGGTCTCCACTCGCATCCTCCAACATCCACTTGGCAGTCACTGACACCTGCATCAATAAAGAGTCGCTCATTCATTGTGACAAAAACAAGGATTGGGTGTCTACATCTTGCCAGTAGGTCTTGATAAAGACATTCAGTTTCATCTTGTACTGCTTATTGAATTGGAGGGGGCAGGAGACGTAGGTACAGAGGTCACTGCTCTCCAGTGAGAAATCAATACATGAACCATACAATTCTCCACATAGCTTCAACAGTAAACTCTCAAAGTATTCGTCTGAACCGAAAACAATATTGCACACTGTAAGAAACACACGCAGGGAATACATAGCTGTAGGTGTTACTTGCCTGCGGTGAATACTACTGTGACAGAAACATTCTCCCCCTTGGTGAAGTAACATGGGAGAGAGCAGCAGTTATTCACTTTCACCGAGTCAACTGATATTCCATTGGAGGAACCTGAGAGCATGGCTAATGAGCGCCTTCCACTCAGCGTTAGGACTTACCGGACGAACCACAGTATCGCCATGGAGTGCTACATGAAGCATTGGAATCACTGGCAGTGCTCAAGGCCTGGATTAGTGCGAGAAAACCGCACATCCGTAAAATAGACATCGTTGAACTTGGTTGAATTGGGCGCGCATGCGCAAATTCGTGCGGGCAAATGCGGGGTGTAGAGCTAGCTAGCAAGCTTCATTCAAAAAGACAAAAGTATGGCCCGAAAAGCATAATTTTTAAAATGGTATATACACCCGTTATACAGTAGTACAGTAGTAGCTAACCAAATAGGGCTCTTAAAAAACACTGCAGAATGCACTTCTCTGTTTCTGCTTTGCCTTTGCCTTTCAAATGATTGGCATAAGTATGATAGCCTCTTTCCCTGGCCCTCGCTCTCCATGTGTTTTTTGTGTGCAAATGACAAGCAAGCCCCCAAACTCACATAAT